TCGGTGCCTGTGGCATAGGAAGAATAAGTGACTCGCCCAGGGTCACACCGAGCATCTGTGGCCTAGCAGAGAATTGAATCAAAAGCCTGAGTCCCAGTCTAGTATATTGATCACAAACTCAGTCTAGTATATTGAGAGGCCACAGGGCATGAGCTGCACCATGTTCGATCCTCTTAGACTCATGCCACCTACCAGGGCACCTCTGAATGAGCCCAATGGCTGCAAAACGCCAGTCATTCAAATGAACCTGTACTGGGCCAAGTGAGAAGCCACCTCAGGTCTACTTTTTGTCGATTCTCACTGCAAACAGCTATCTGCTGTAAATGAGCCTGTTCTTCCCAGAGGACCCTGAAAATAAGCAGGATGCCTGCTGCACTGGTAGCAGGTTTCACCTCAGTGCAAAGAAGAGCTCTCAAAGAAACTGCACCCTTTGCCCCTGAAAAACGGGGGTTGTAATCAAATCAGCAACTGACCCCTAGCCTTTGACCTCCCCTTGGCACTAGAACCAGAGTGCCATGATGAACTGCCTCCGGCCCATATTGCTGTTACCGTCTGGCAGTGGCAACATCTGGATTGGAAACCTGTGCAAAAACACCAGCAAAATTAAAGCCATCGATCAAAAAGGCCCCAACAAAAACCTAGGCTGAGTTGTTAGGCTACAAATGAGATAGAACCGACTGATTGTTTTTAGAGGAATGCTTTTTATTGCATGCCATGTGTCACAGATGCTTGTGCAAAGAGCGGGCCCTTGACAAGGCTGAGGATTAGCTGTCACCGGCCGGACAAGGCAGGTTTTGTGAATAGCTTTCCTCGCACAGCAGCACCAATTGCAACAATGCCCATTTTGCAGGTACTCGCTTGTCTCTCTCCAGTTTGGAAGCTTTGTACTGTAAGTCTGGAAGCATTCAACTCCTTTAAAGGGAATGAGAGGTGTTACGGTAGCTGGAGCACATGCATGCGATCTTGGGAGAGTCTGCATGCTGCCATCCAATGGCACTCTCTCCCTTCAGGGGCTCATGTTGTAGTTAGGGTCTGCAGGTAGAGTTGCTACCTGCCCAGGTTTTCCCAGGATCCTCCTTTGTTTGAGGTAGCAGTCCTGGGAAATTGGTAAGATATTCAGGGTACATCTACACTACCCGCCGGATTGTGTAGACGGGTAGTGATCGATCTATTGGGGATCGATTCATCGTGTCTCATCTAGACGTGATAAATCGATCCCCGTCGACTCTGGAACTCCACCGCTGTGAGAGGCAGAAGCGGAGTCGACGGGGGAGCGGCAGCTGTCGATCCTGCGCCATGAGGCTGTGAAGTAAGTCACTAAGTCGATCTAAGATACGTCGACTTCAGCTATGCTATTCTCGTAGCTGAAGTTGCATATCTTAGATCGATTCCCCCACCCCAGTGTAGACCAGGCCTCAGTATGTGATGCCAGCTGTCCAGTTTTATGGGCTCAGTTTCATCCCGGCTGTTCCAACTTTTTGTATCTCAGAGGTGGCAACCTTATCTGCAGGCAGGAATCTAAATGTACAATGCAACAGAGAACAACGGGAGCTTGCAATGTAGCCGTTACAATGTATTATTAGCATGTATT